GGTTTCACTTCATTTTAATTCTAGTGAACATAATATTACAGATATGTCTATTTCTGGTGTATGTGTTGTCAATGGCAACGAAAATCAGCTCAGGCGTGTCGAGGAGGAAACTATATTCCGCCTTGGAACTAAAGAACCCCATGGTATTAACAAACAGTTCAACTCATTTGTTGAGCTCACTACCTAAGGCGCGTTATTTGTTCTATTGTGGATTTTTTTGTGATTCTAACTTATAGTTCATGCGCGTTCTTACGTTCCTATGTTCTACCTGCACGTTATCACACTTGCTTCTATGCTATCGATAAAGAGCCATTGCTCGAAACGTCTAGCTATTTTTAATAGTTATTTAGGACTACGATTACCAAATATTATCTTCAATATATCATACTTATCAGTCCGAGCAGCGTATATTTATTTATTTATAAACTATTATTTTATTGTCACAGATGTTTCTTTACCTGAAAATTACACACCTTGTATAAATAGGCACAGTGCTGGGTTTATGTTGGACTGAAAAATAATATGAAGTTACATAAATAATAAAAATATTCTATTTGTGTTTTTTTGAAAATTATCGCACTTCAAATGTGAAGACAACATTAATTTGTAAATGCTGGTATACTTATTGGCAGTCGAAATTCAAAGCCAGTTGAAACACTTTTGCGAATATCACTGATATAAACAATGAAATAAATAAATTAAATTGAGAATTTAGGACGAAATTTGACTAGGAATGACCAAATCAAATGTAATACCATGCTCCGCGTATACACATTGTAAAGAGTAACTAATTGGATACCGGGTTGACAGCTGTAAACTGTGATGTTGTACTATTACATTTGAACTTGTCTGTGATGTTTTGGAGAAGGATTTCTGTGTGTAACTGAAAATACCAAAGCCTATTTAAACGTGTGACTGACATTTAAAATCGGCTCAAGACACACATAGTTAATGTTTCTGGTGCACTTTGAAAGCGAACACTGCACGATTGGGTGGACAGATTTATGTCGGTAACATGATAATAGTTTACTGAAAGTTAGTGTTCTAGATTAAATACGACATATTTCGCCCCAGTTGTATGATGTTTTCGACATCCCGATATATGTCTGTATTGGTTCACAAAGCACGTACGTAGTTGCTTATGGCCTACCATATGTACGGCAGTAATCCTACAGACGAATTAAATTAGTTTATTTTACGGAATTTATAGATGGCATGCTTGTAACCTCACTAACGCCGCTTCACTTCAGCATTGGAGGTGCGAGTCATTTGTCTAATTGGGAGGGGGGATTTTCAGTTTGATTGAAATTGTCGGAGAATATGTAAATGCACATTCAGTCAATATACAAATTTCAAATCAGAAACATGGTCTTGTCGGTGTTGGTGAAAGGGAGTCTGTGTTGTGGCCGGCGTTTGTTTGTTATTCCCACCAAGAGGAATACATTTTTGCCCGCTTTGTTTTTTACCTCCATCGGAGAGATTATTTTTTTCTTTGGCGTTGCTCTGATATCTCCGCCAGTAAAGCTATTTTCATGTTAATATTCATAAAGTGTTGCCCTGGAGACAAAGAACAATTCGATTTTAGAGAGAATCCGCATCTGGTTTCTATAGAGAGTGACTCCGAATCATCACATAACTCATAGTAAGTTGTTGACACATGATATTTCATGGCATTCAAGAATGTTTTAGGAAAGATTGACATCTACACAATTACCAATGAATTGTATTTTGAAAGAAATCTGGCATGATTGGCATGGAAACAGGATTAGTTAAAGGATCTTTTATGGCGAAGAACCAACAAATACAGTGGAGGAATAACAATTTCTTTCCTCCGCACAAACAACAATCAATTATGTTATAGTGCACAAAATGGCAAAAAAGAAGAGCTATACTTCAGCGTGTAAAACCAACAACGAGTGAAAGCATATTAAATAAAGCAGCTCAGGACAAAAACATAGACATGACACTAG